TTGTTGATGTGTAAGTGCGAAATTTGAATTAAAGGTTGGATCACATGTCGCATGTAATTATGTAAACCATTATGTGAATTGTTATGTACATGTAGCATTACTCTTAGGAAAAAAAATACAAATTTAGCAATATTAATTAAAAAATTAATTTCATTAACTTTAAAGTTTTCACTTTTTAGGAAAAATACAAATTTAGCAATACAAATTACAACTAACCCATTAAAATGATCATATAAAGTAAATTAAGTCAATTATTGTTGGCCGATAGTTTTTATAAGTCCACAACATACGTCCTTATCCATTATTTAATCTAAACTAAAATTAATCCCAAATCATATGAAAAAAAACATTTATTTTCAATAATCCAAATCATAATGCAACAAAACTACGACAGCAAATCACATCCACAACTTCAGAAGCCCTAACCTAAACTCTCATTTCTCAAACATTTTAGGCTTGCCTACCACTGCTGAACAAAATGCGATCCCCAATCGCAAATAGCTAGTCGTGTTTTGCTTGTTAGTCTGCTAATTTTTATCTGAATCACAAATTTCTCTCATCTCTCTTGATAAGTCTTAAATTCTCATTCAAGTCAATTTTTCATTGTTCTTTCTTTTATTTGTTGTTTTTGAACTTATTATACACTTGCGAGTTGTGACTTGGATTAAAAAAAAAATTATTATTTGTGTGCCTAGGTGATTAATAAACTTATTTGTGGTTTAGAAAGAACGAAAGATAGAGCGTATTGATTCTATGAAAATGTTAAAGTTCCCAAACTAGTACTACTACATCCTACTTCATAAAGTCGTTAGAGAACAAAATTTGTCAATTTTCAATAAACCTGAACTCTAGCATTCTTTGTATATTTAAACATATCATGTTCAGTCTTTATTTTTCATCTCATTGGTAGGACGAAAGGAGTTTTAACCAAACTATTACAATAGAATGTGACTCTATCTTTACCAACAGTTATATGACAATATAAAAGAAGGCAAACAAGAAAATGCAAATCAAAAGGAAGAAAGATACATTCGTTCTATTAACATCTTTTAGCAACCAACTTTGAAAATAATTTATTCATGGGTTTCGTGAGAAAGATGAATGTAATTTAATATTATTAGTTCTCGTTT